GTCCTGTGGATCCTCCCAAATACCACAGCAGATCCCCCCAGGGCTCTGGGTTTATCCCTGTAATGCTTAAGCCACCTTGGGGTGGCACAGACCCCCGGCCCCTGAGCCAGGGTAGCGACTCTGCCCTAGCAGGGATAGCGAGGGGGACCCTCACCTTCACCGTCCGCGCTGTGGTCAGAGCAGGGATCGACAGCCTGCCTGGTCTGAGGGGCTCAGGGAGAGGCTGCGGGGAGGGGGTTGCCTGCCCCTCCTGCAAAGTGACAGACCCTCGCTGCTGGGGCTGTTGCAAATTCCCCACAGCACTCGACTGCTGGACACGGACAGGCCCAGCCAGGGGGCAGCTCATCCCGCCGGGGGCACGGTGCCCCGGGTACTTACCTATCCACTGCTTCCCGGGGATCCCTGCCTGCCGCCCGGCTTCATCACAGATGCCTTTTTAAGCACATAAAACCCGAGCACAGCTACACCTCCGCCTCCCCGGCAGCTTCGTCCTCTCCATCGCGTCTGGGGGCTCCCGACCGCTGCTCCGCGTCCACGTAGCAGAAGAGGGACCGCACGTCAGCCGGCGTGTTCTCTTCAGGCACGACGGATGCCGGATGCAGCCAGACCCTCTGCCTAGGGTGTGCCAGGGAAGCGGCGCCCGGCCAAGGGGAGCTGCCGCAGGCACTGCCGGGGCACACGGGCACACACTCCCGGAGTCCCGGGATCCGGGCTGGCATCTCCCCTCCCTGCCAGGCGGGCGAGAAGGGACGGCGAAAGCTCATTCCCTCCTGCACTCACAGGAGCTCCAGAATCAGAAAGCAAAATAAAAAACAAAACAAAACAAAAAACAACCCAACACACGGTTTGGGGTAGGTTTTCTTCCCCCCCCGCGCCACCCGCCAAATTCCTGCGATTTAAGCCTCGAGCCATAAGAAACAAGCAGTCCCACTGCTGCCGGCTGGTTTGTAAGCCAGGATTAAACAGCACTGGGCACCCAGAGGATAAACCCCGAATCCAAGGGGGCCACGTCAATACAGAGCTCATCTGCAAAGTGCAGACATGCTGCCAGGACCTTACTCCATCTGTAAGAGGAGGCAGGAGATTTGAAGCTGTGGCATTAGCTCTGCCCAGCCTTAAATACTTTCACCTATACTGTAGGAATCGTGACTTTACAACCCAGTTTTGTCCTTTAAAGCTTCCAGTGTCAAGTGATGCTCCAAATCCATTTAGACACCTCATCCAGCGTCTGAACATGAATACAAAATAGCCACTGGGAGCCAATTCTGGCAGTAGACGACTTAATATTTAACACCCCTGGTAATTCCCCCTTTACAGCATTGTCTTTCTTTGTTCTTCACTCTGTGTTAATTAGCAAGATGAAGTTTAATAAGCTGGTTTTTCACTTGCACCGTGCACACCTCTTATGGTGCTGACGTCTCATGACTAAACCATGACCAGAGGCTCTTGCTTTCCCCTGCCTGGAGGCACATCATGGCACCTGAATTTATCTGAACCTCAAAGATTGGGGGAGACTTTAAAACAAAGTGAGGTGTCCTGGTCCACTTGTATCAAAGTGCATTGGACATAAGGGAGAGAAAGTTCCAGGGCTCTCCCTTCAAGGACATCTCTCTGTCCACCTTGGAGAAGTCCTACAGGCCCTGGGGGAGCTGGAGGCAGCCTGGCTCCAAAATTGCAGTCCATGGGGTAGCCCCAGAGCCCAAGAGCCAGCTTCTTGGCACCTAAGGGGCCATCAGCTCTTGTGCCCAACAGCAGCAAAAGCAAAACACCAAATGCAAGAGGCTCCACCTGCCTGCATGCCAGGATGATATAAATCACTCCCCCCAAATAAAGGAGAGTGATAACTACCATAATTTCATCACTCCCACCAAGGAGCAGCACCAGGTAAGGAGGTGGCCCAGCAGCCAGGCATTGAAACCTCCACACGAGGCATCAGTTTACTGTTAGCTTATTTCATTTGTCACGTGTACCGTATAAGATCCACAGCCATCAAGATTTCGGTGTCTTTGCCGCTGTCTGTTGGTCCCTCAGCCCAATTCCATCTGGTATACGATGTGTGCCATCAAACACCTCATCACTCCAACAGCCTCTCCCCAAAGCGGGTGTTATTCTCATTTCCTACTCATCTCCCTCCTCCAAGACAAACCACCCCACAGCAGGACCCAGTGCCCTGTTTTGCCCCCCCCCCAGATTCTTAAAAGAGCTGATTCAGCACTTTGGGAGCACTCAGCATTCCAGATGCTGAAGCAGGCTGAAACCTGAGCTCACCCCAACACCCAAGCGCTACAACACGATATGGGAGAGAAATGGAAACATAAGCACATCCCTCTGGCACGGCACGGCGATTTTCCAGCCATTGAGTCACCATGAAACTCCAGGCACTGGGCAGTTCCAGAGAGCTGTGGATGGCTAATGGAGCTGGGCTGGCAACTCAGGTCCCTAAATTTGCATCTGTATCCAACAGTCAATGAGACGGGACAACCTCGGGCCAAATGCAGTCGTCATTCCCTTTAAGGGTTCCCTTGCATGCTCCATGTGCAGATCCAGTCATACAGACACAAACTCCCAAACCTCACTGTCCACCTGGCTGTGCATCATGAGTATCCCAAGGCGGTAAGGGAGGGGGAAAGAGGGAGTAGCATTTGTGCTTTCCAACACTCTTTGGCTGCTCCTTGCCACGGCCAGTGATGGTGGAGCTGTCCCAAAAACCACTCCAAACCCAACCCGGCAAATGGCACAATTCGCTGCGTACACCCATCTGCAAAGTTTTCACTACCAAGCCTCTACCCAGCGGCAAAAGTTGAAGCTGCATCTGGCGACTGGAGCTGGGGACGTGTCTCCCAGCTCCGTTCATCTCCTCCGGGCGGGCAGACTCCCACCCATGACAGAACTCGAGCGGTCCCTGCACGGCGGGATGCCAAAGGCTCGCACCCTAAGGTCAGGGCGAAGCTCTCCACCTTCACTCCGGTCCCCGCGGGCCTTCCCGAGCCATCGGCAGCCTG